AAAGAGGGTTGGTCTGAGAAGTGACCCCTGGGGTATGCCTGCATTGATTGCTAGGGCCACAGACTTCCTTTTAAAGATAAAATTTTCTCTTATAAAATAAATAAAGCAAATTATTTTGCTTTTTTCTGATAAAAATAAAAAAAGTCCTATTCATTAACAATCACCAGTAATATGCACAACTTTATATATAATTATACACTTGCATAAAAAACTTTATATATAATTATACACTTGCATAAAAAACCTTATATATAATTATACACTTGAAAAAAAACTTTATATATAATTATACACTTGCATAAAAACAATGAACAAACAGTAAATATAGACACACAAAAGTTAAACAAGACAGTTAAGAAATTATTAAAAAATGAAAACAAATCCTGGACTAGATTAATAGAACACCACTTCATTACACCCTTACTATACACCTTACCCAAAACACACAAAACCAACATACCCATCAGACCCAGTGTGTCTAGAATCAACAGTGCACTCCACAAATTAGTTAAATGTTATTGCAAAAATCCTAACTCTGTTCCTAAGAACGATGAACACAACACATATCAAAAACTCTGGTGAGTTAATCCAGAGAATACAAAACGTAAATATGGAAAACATGGTTATGGTGAGCTTAGACATCAAATCTTTATACACCAACATACCATCACAAAATGTCTCAACATATTGAGAAACTGCCTAAAAAAATCCAAAGAAAAGCTTCCTCTACCCGTCCACAAAATTATAAAACTATGCAAACTAATCACTGCTTCTTTCAATATTTTCTATAAGCAAAAATTCGGCTTACCTATGGGGTCACTTATCAGTAGTGTTCTTGCTTGCCTTTTTCTAGAATTTTTAGAATCTAGTCAATTTAAAGACATCATACCAAAAAGCTCTACTTACCTAAGATATTCTTTTATTATATCCTCATAATATAAACATTAAACATAATAATGAAACTCAGTAAGGTTGAATGTACCATTTAATTCACATACAAATTTGAAATAAACAATTCTCTACTTTTCATTGACATCTTATTAATACAATTAGATTTTAAAGTTTATCATAAACTTATCATAATTAATTTTTATTCCCACTACAATCAAAGACTATAATTTGGACTAATCATAGGATTCTACCTCAGGAGCCATAGGATATGCAGCCCTGAATATCTAAATGAAAAGAAATATATTAAGAAAACATTCAGACTTCTTCACTGCCCACATCATTTTATCCACAATGCTAAAAAATGAGCTTACAAAATTCACAAGTCAAAAAAACAGACACCAATAATAACACTTCTAATAAAAGTTATACAAAATTCATAATCCTAATCTCCAACACTTTCTACTAAACTTGCAAACAAATTAATCATCCCTAATACTAGGATCTATAGGTAAGAGGTATAGCACATCAGATCAAATGACAGTTCCATACAGGACACAGGTTCAATATCTGTTGAAGAACACATATTTTTTATGAAATTTCTCAAATATTCAGACTGATAAATGTAATTATTACTGTTTAATTAAAGATGGAGCATTTACTTAAATGAACTGTATCTATTAAAATAACATATAAATAGAAAATATATATATATGTGTGTATGTGTGTGTGTGTGTGTATGTGAATAGGATATGGGCTCCAGACAAAGTGGGAAACTGTTATATTGACTTGATTATGTGTTTCATCATCATTAGATTGGCTTCCTAAAAAAATCAGAATGAAAGAAATATATGTGTGTATCGACCGTAAGTTCCACATGGCTGAGATACATAAACAAACATTAATACATATATATATATATATATATATATATATATATATAATATATATATATAAAATAAAGTAAATATATTAGATCTATGTTGTTTCCTATTTGTTCTTTATCCTCTCATATGCAGTCATCTCTTGCCACTTCAAACTTTGAATTTTGCAGCTTCACTCTTTCATGGTTTTTCAGATCTTTTCATTAAAAAATAAAAAAAATCTGTGCTGAAAAGAAAACATCAAATTATGCTTATTAGTCCTTCCAAGGTATAAAGAATGTTTATGCAAATGATTTAGAGGAACAGTAACCTTTGTTGTGCAGTACATCTCTTCATTGCTTCTTCATCAAACATGTTGTATTATTTTCCTAGGTTCACACTAACCTAAGAAAATAATGCAACTTTTTTGATTATGAAGCAATATACAATTAAAGACTTTATGTGTGATTTTAATGTACAATAATAATATGATATTTGTAATGTCTAATATGTCTTATTTTCTCTTATTTTGTCTAATATATTGGGTAATATAAGTGTAAAGGTGACTACAAGGTTGTTATTTCATGCCTAAAGAGCTCTTATAATGTTAAAAACTGTATTTAGAAGGTCGTAAACAGGTTTTCTATGCTCTAAAAAAAATATTCAATTTATAAATGAAGAATCCTATTTCGTGAAAATTCACTTATCGTGGTCGGGTCGGGAACTGATTAACCGTGATAAATGAGGGATAATGATATATATATATATATATATATATATATATATATATATATATATATATATATATATGATTATTTTCAAGAAATAAAATTTCAACAGCATTTTATTGAATTGGAATATTAACAAATAACATCTTCAATATGATTTCCATCATTTGTTATGCAAATGTTGATGTGCTTAACAAGATTCATGTGAACTTGATGCAATAAGTCCACATTGCTGTAAATTTTGACACATTCACTCTTTATGTCTTCAATCAAGTGTGTTGTATCTGTGATTTTCATTGAGTACACCTTTCCTTTTAGCATATCCCAGAAAAAGAAATCAATTATTTCTTTATTTGACAAAACTATTTTTAATGAAACATATTTTTATCTCTGTGAAGAAAAAAAATTATAGTTAATGAGATTTTCTATTTTTGCAGATTTTAGAGACACCCTGTATATATGTTTGTAATTAAAAATACAATTAAAAACTTAAGCTTCCTTAATTAATATCAAAACGCTTAAGATAAAAAACAAAATACTAGCAACTAAATAAGAAGAATGAAATAACAAGTAAACATTTACTTCACCATTTAAGCATAAATTAAATTATACACACACACACACGTGTGTGTGTGTGTGTTATCCATGCCAAGAAGATTAATGAAGGATGATAATGATGAAGAAACACACAGTTTAAATTTTAAGAAAACAAGATGTTATGTAGTGGTTTCACAGTGGAGGCTTGTATTTGTACTAAGTCAGTCCTAAAATAGGTTCGATGTACAAAATGTTAAAAACTTGATATAATAGGTAATGACGCAGTAATCTAGTTGGGGTGACTGATACTTCAATATCTGACTAACGGTCGTCCGACATCGACTGAATGACCAACTCTCTGCCGACTCCGCGACTGCTGCTACTACTCCTACTTATTATAGGGTGGAGAGTCTATTAGCTATAGAATAGGTGTGTTCCAGTATAACACAAGATAAGGAAATCATTCACGAATTTATATGCTTGAACTAGGAAAATAAATCAGAATTATTAATGTCTGTATTTTTAACATATTATCATGGAAAGGAAATGTTCATGTAACAGATTAAATGATCTGACACAAAATAATATTAAAAAATGTTTAAGATTTATCTTTCTCATATTTTTGAGAGAAAATTCATTGAAGTGCTGTGTGTTGGTTAGAGGCTGATAATATAATTGGTGAGTAATTTTACACTATTGAGTACTTCAATACTGGTTTCAAGGAACTGAAACAAAACCTTTCACATGACTTTAGACACTCTTCTTTGATTAATTTAATTTTACTCCTCATTTTAGGTTTGCTACTTTCTTTCCTTCTTCTTGGCCCACCTGCTAATTTCTGTGAAGGCAAGATTTTCAATGGTCCAAAAGCAATTTCACATAGGTTTGCAAATTCCTTTCCTTTTTGTTCTTGGTTCACCAGTTAATTTCCGTGAAAGGCAAACAATCTCACATAAGCTTTCAAATATTTTTCCTTTTTCTTCTTTAGTCCTTTGAATCTGAAGGGAGGGGAAACAGTTATTATTATTTTGCATTCACTACAAGCCTTGTTCCTGGGCATCAATCTTTCAAGCAGTACCTTCCTATTCTATAAAAAGGGGTCGGGATCCATTGGGTACTATAACGTCAGCGGTAATAAATATACCAATACCAACTCACCTAAAAGAAAGGGCCTTGTCGTATTTCGTCTGCTTGTGGCCGGAATGAGTACAAAAATCTCCTGCTGTAATTTACCAGTACACAAATTCACGCAAATTAAAGTTCTTTTCTTTATTGGTTTGTAGTTGTGATTTTTTTCTTTTTGTTTTTTTGTGTCTATAACTTTCTCTGTAATTAAATTCTGAATTTGTCACAGGTAAAATAAAAATGACTTAAGTAAAAATTTAAAAAAATCAGTAACTGAGACAGTTTAAGTTTTTTAATTTAAGTTAAACTGCATTATACGATAATAAAATTTTATAAGTAATGAAAAAAAAATAGTACTTCCAGGTTTGTTTTTTTTTTTTTTTTTTGGTTCTGGTAATTTTTTAACTCTTCTACATCGCTTAAAAAAACTTTTTTAAGTTTAAAAATAATAACACGGAACGAAAATGTCAGTAAATATAAATTGTAAACTCCTTTTTACAAACAAGGAATATAAACCTTATTTATAACTCTTGGTGTGTAATTAAAAAATAAATTAGTAATAATAATTGATAGCTTAGAGAGGATGAAAAATATACTGAGCAAGTGCTTTAAATCCTAAAAACGGAGTACTTTAGTTAAGTAATTAAGAGAAACGTTTCGTTTACAATGGCGACTGTGGCGCCAACATTGAAATAGCCAGTAATTCTTTTCCGCGCCACTTTTGTAAATTGTTCAGAAGAATAGAGACGGTTATCATTACAGCTGGATAAAACGTATTCGCTTTTTATTTGTGAATTCATAGATTTATTACTTCAATTAATGTGAAAGAAAGGGATTTTTTTTACAATAATTTAAGATTATGGATGATATGCAATTATTTTGTATTGCAGATGTAAATTGTCCTCCTGTCGAAATTAAAAGGTTTGGAGATTTTTAAAAGTTTTTTTTTAATTACAAAAATATTTTTTAATCATATGTTCTCTCTTCCAGATAAAAAAAAAAATCATAATTTTTATTGATTTTTTTTTTCTTTCTTGTCTTAAACTTTTTGCGAAATAATACGTAAATAGTAAATTTATATATATTTTTTTAATAATTTAAATTTTTTATGCTGATTTTTCTGTATGTTACAATACATGTATGTGTGGAAAAAAAGATGTTTTCAGAAACAAAGAAAATAGTTTTAAATAACAATATAACTAAGTACTTAAAAAATATTTTTTTAATAAAAGCCTAATGATAATTAATAGTACTTGTTTAAAGGTAACAAATTTAAAAAATGAAAAAAAAAACATCACAATATGGCCAAGTAATTAAATTTTTAATAAGCAAGTGAAAGTCTATCCGATTTTTATTTTACAAAAATTAAAATAAAGTTCATGTTCATTTTTGTCAAGTCCAAACCTATTTGCTTCATAAATTATAATCTTTTATATCGCAATTCTATCAAGTGAAAAGAATGTCTTAAAATTAATAATTAAAATCTTTTCATTTTTTTTAATGACTTTTGTTTTTTGCCTATTGATTTCTTCTTTTTATACACTGTGCGTATCACTAAAAATAAATAAAATGCAGTCTATTTTATTTTTGAAGAGTTTAAAAAATTGATTTTTTATTACAATTACAAAATAGAATAGACTTTGAAATGTTTTTTCTTTGTTTCTGATTTCTAGAAGTAAACAACATTTAAAAACTGAAAACCTGTCGAGTCATTAAAAACACTATTGAATTCATAAATAATATTTAAAAAAACATTTGGAATTATTTCTTTTGAATTCATTTACGTTTTAATGAAAGTGCTTTACAGTTGATTTAATTCATTAATCGATAAGAATTTGAAAATTATTTGTGGGGGGGGTGAATAGATTTTTTTTTCTTTTATTTCTTAATTAAAGTATTTAAATAAATCAATATTTTATTGTTAAAAAGTAAATATATCATTACTCCTGTAACAAAAAATAATTTGCCCTTCCATATAAAAAATTTCATCATTTTATTTTATTTTCTTATTTTTTTTTACAGTTCGTTTATTTTTTCTGTTTCTGTGCGTTTTTTATTTTATTTTTTGTTTTAATCTTTGAAATTACAATTTTTAACATTTTTAATTTCTGATTCTTCTAACGAAAAATATGAATGATCTTTGTTTATTTTTTCACAATTATTACTTAAGTTAAAATATTTTTTAAAATGGTTAATGTTTTGAATTTTGTATGTCTTAATAAAATCTGAAATTAGTCCTTTATGCCTGAACATGTTTATAATCTCCGAGCTTTGCCGTTTGTTTACTTGGGTTGTTTTTCTGACTGATTTAAAGAACAAAAAAAAAAAAAACAACTTTCCATCTTGATTTTGTTATTTGAGACAAAAACGACATGTAATAATATTTATGAATAATCAGTTTTTAGTTTCTTTCTACTTTTTCAAAAAAAACTTAAAATTAGTTTCAGTGCTTAACATTTTTCATTCGTATTATTTTTTTTATACACAGGTTTCTAGTTTTTTTTAATAATTTTTTTAAAATGCGTAAAAATAAAACGTACATTTTTTTTTTTTTTTTTTTTTTTTAAATTTTTAACTTTTAATTCATCACATTTTTAAATCCAGAATGAAGTGGACAATATACTAAAAGGAGGGGGGGTAATTTTTTTTATCTATACGAAAATAATCGTAATAAAATTTAACTTAAATCAAGTTTTTAAAAAATCTATCTTCTGAATTTAAAATTTAGTGTTTACAATTACCCCCCCCCAAATCACTTTTCTTTTTTTTTTCTAGAAATGTGAATTCTCAGAATTTACTGTTAATTTTTCCGTTCTAAAAAACTTTCATTTTAACACAGTAAAAATACTGGGTTAAGGATTGGTTTTGCTTTGCATTACCCAAACCAAATAAGCTAATTATTCGTTATCCAAAAAAAGATAGCAGCTCAGTTTTTTTTAATTTTTTTTTATTGCCATAGTCCAATATCTGTTTCGAATTTAAAAGGATAATTAGTATATTTTAAGATATCCATTTTATTGGCATTTACGTTTTAGTTTTTGCTTGATAAAATTTCAGAAATTGCCTAGTTTTGGTCGCTTTTGACTGCAGCCATCAGGGTGTGCCTCCGTCTCTTGTTAGTGAAGTCGAAGTAGGATGGTGCTGAGAGGTTGCTAGGGACTAGGTTTCTACTGAAATTCTCAGTAAACCAAGTTTATTTAATTTTCTACATGGGAGTGAATACTGGACAATAAAAAGACTTAAACTGAAATTGATACTAACAATCAGAAAGACAGCTGGAGAACATAATGAGGAAAGAGGGTTTGGTGAATTTAACGCTCACAGGAAATATCGAAGGCAAGAAAAGCAGTGAGGGGAAATGGCAAGTCGCCTACTTAACAAATTTGGCAAAATAAGGACAAAGTGAGATGGTAAAGGTTCAAAAGTTATTTAGAACAATAAAACAGGAAGTTGTAGAGAGCTGTGATCGACTGCCTTTTATATTCTTGGGTGTTGAGTATTTTTGATTTATCTCATTCTCTAAAAGATGAAACAGGAGCAAATTTAAGTCTGAAAAAGGTGCAACAACAAAAAAGAAAAAAAGCTTCATTCCACTTTATCCAACCAAACCAAAATGGTATTTTCCCGGGTGAATTTTGTTTCTTCCTCACAGTAGCAAAAAAGAAAAAAGTTGGGGGGGGGGTCTCACTATATTAACACCTTCATACACTCAAGTTGTGCAACAATGTTAGGTTACTTACCTGCTAACTGTGATCAGATGGGACATTCAGAGAGAGAGAGATCACTTGCTCTTCCATTGCACTCCTGTTGCCTTGAGCCTTGTGACCAGACCAAATGTGAATAGCTTGAATGCGCTATTCCTATGTTAGTGAATTGAATAGTCATATATTCTGAAGACTACTTCTGGATCTGCAGTTATGAAAAAGGGCTGTGGACAAAACAAGGGTAGATGACTACCAAAATCTGAGATGTTATAAGCTTTAGTACTTTGGTGTTGTTTATTAAAATTTTGATACATATTTTTTTTTTGTTAATCAAAATAAAGAAAATAAATTCAATGTAAACAATCAAATTTAAAAAAAAAATAGAGGTAAAGCAAAGTTTTCCTTGTGGAAGTGTGTAGGCCAGACTGAGTGAAAGGAAAAGTGATACCATAATAAGGTACCTTACTATACCATTTAGTACCTACTGAAATTCCAAAATGAAACTGACACCACCGACTGGCTGTGGGTCCAGTACTTTACCTTGTACACAGCTGAATACCTGATTCATCCCTATAACACAGATATATTGCACATAATAATATAACCAATTAAAAATATGAGTAGGATTTTTCTAAAATAGCTTCCAAATATATTATTACAGGTATACCAAATTTTCGGACATAATAGTGATCTTGTTAAATTTCGTCAAAAGTACTATGGTAGTCATGACATCTTTTTAGTTTTACCTGCATTTAGAGCCAGGTAACACTTGGTTACCCTGTGAACCACGAACTCCCTAACCTGATCGCCAAAATTTACTGACTAAAGAGTATTAGTAGGTTTGTTTGGCCTTTTTTTTTTTTTTTTTTTTTTCCCCCCCTCAATCAATTGCAGTTTGATGAATCCAACATAGTTGCCTTGAAACAAAAGTTGTTGAGTGACAATGTATTCTGAATCTGTTTTCAGTTTAGTAAAATATTAGAGTTAAGGAATTTGGGAACAGTTATCCAAGACTTGTTACCTTCAGACTCTTCCTGGTTTTGGTCATTGAAACATTTTTTTTTGTCTGCTTGTGTTTCTAATAATTTCAAGATATTGAAAAAACTCAAGAATTTGTAAGTCAAAACCAGAATCATTCTTTTATGATGGATACACAATTTTTTTTTTTTTTTTTTTTTTTCTTAGTCATAGAAAACCATAGAAAATGATAACTAAATAATGATGCTATAAACTTATATTTTATATACAGAATAAAAGATTTTGTCAAAATAATATTGGATACTTTTGCACCAATACTGTAATATTTTGTCATGTTCCGTATCTGTAAAATTACCTTAAAGTTTTCATTTTCTTTTGGTTCTGAAAGAAAAGATGAAACTAGGTTTTGGTGTTGCTTGTTATTTTAATGAAAACCTTTTCCATCCTCTTTGATTTCTTTTACAAGGATATTAAACTTAAAGCCTTGTTAAACATTATCAGGTACAAAGGAAGAACCAATGCCTGCCTCATGACCAAGATCTTTGTTTTGTTTTTAAGTTCTGAGCACAAGTAAAAGCTAATATTTCAAATGCTGATTTACAAAATAAGGCCTTCCCCCACTTAGGAAACTTGATGCTTAACCCACTTCAAAAGAAACAAATTTTCAATGCAATTGGTAAAAAGCTGAACAATAAAACTGGGTATGAAACTCATTGCTCCCTTTTGAAGTTTCCTTCCCTCAAGTGTATTTCCTCTTTTGTATATAAGAGGGCATATTGATATTCTTACCATTCAATGCAACCTTAACTAACAAAATATCTCTCAAAAATGACAGACCAATCTCTGCATGGATTGGCACTTTTGCCTAGGCTCAACATAGTGTCTGTGCATTCTGTCTGAATTAGAAAGTTGCTGTCTTGTGTAGAATAACAATAATAAACAGCATGTTTATCTTGACCACATGATTTTTCTACATCTTGTTTAAGCAACATAATCCTAAAATGGTGGATATGTTACTTACCTGTTTATCTATCATTTGGACATTTGAATCAGGCCAATTTTAATATGGCAAAAGTTATAGCCATGAAGAAACAGAAAATGTCACACAGAGATAACTGTAGCTCTTTTTTTAATGTAAAAATAGTCATGTCATCATCATTATATGCAGACACATGTCATGTAAGCATCTATGTATGATCGGCCATATTGCTTCACCTGTACATGTTAAAAAAATGCTTA